TCTTTTACATATATTATATTATGATGAATCTTACTTTATTCAATACATTATTGATTTATTTTAAGATAGCTATGAACTTATTTTTACTATCTTAACGGTATTTACAGAAATATAGTATACAGTTTTGTGTTTTATATGTTGATATAATAGGGTAAAAATACATAATATTATTTTAATAATTAAATACTAGTAGTGTTATAAACGTAATATTTAAAGAAAAAATAATATTGAGCTAACGTAATCCTTAAAGTAAAGTAAATTCATTTAATAGTGATAAAAAAAAAAAATATATATATATATATATATATACTTATTATAGTTATTATGCATAATTAAGCTGACAGTCCACATGGTTTCTCTGCTCAAAATCGTTCTTTGTATCCAATGAGCAATGATTTATCATTGAATTCAAATTTAATACACCCATAGGTTATAACACTGATCCACATGATATTTATTGTACAAAAAGCAGTCTTATTTGACTATACCTTTTTTAATTTGAATTTTTTTTTATTGTTATTACGCGAATTTGTACTTTACCAATAACTTTTACTTCTTAGTACTTATCCAAGTTATGCATAACTTACAGACTTGAATATCTTTTTTTTTTCTATTCTTTGATTCGACAATGCCGATGAATAATTAGTTTCCTATCGTTTTCTCGTACTCTAAATAGATACCTATCAATTATTATGTTACAATTACAATTAACAATAACTAGAATTAATATTTAGATATTAAAATATATAATATTTGTATTGAATATGGATAATATAAGTTCAAACTGGTTGATTTTTATTAATAATTTTTTTTATAGATCCAGTTCCTATAAAAGTACTATAGTCTATAAAAAATCTATAGAATAATGAGACAAGCTGAGCTTATAAAAACATCCATAAAAGAAAAAAACTCGATTTAACAATCATGCTGTGGTTACATTAGTTTACTATTTTAATCTGTGTAATATACAATAAAAAATGAAATTATTCATATTTATTACTTAATACTTTTTATAAACAACAGAAATTAATCAGGTTAAGTGAATTTTAAAAAGCAAAAAAAAAGTATAATTAACTGGAAAAGTATGTTCTAATGGAATTAGAGACTGTTATCTATAAGGTTTTTAATCACAAAAAAATTGCTAACAATTAAATTTAAAAATGAATGACTATACAGATATTCTATTGAAAACGTATAACAAATAAACTAACAGGTATAATATATGAAAAAATGGTGAGAAGAATAGAGGCATACGCAGACAATATAATATAGTGTCCTATATTATTTTAAAAAGCTAAAAAAATTAAATTAATTATATAAGGTGTAGACTCCTGCTCTATACACTACATAATATGTTCTCCACTTCCTTTCACAGTTTTGAAATGTTATTTTCTTCTTCTTTTAATTTCTAAATCAAATTTGTGTAAAATTAAATAAAAATATATTTTAAAATATTTACGATCTAATGTTGTCACACATTATATGTTTGACATCGGAAACTCTTTATACAAATCCATGTTAGTATATCACATTATCACATGTAGTCAATAGTTTGTAGATTACTTGGTTTAAAATTTTGCCTCCCGATAAAGTTATTATTAACAATTTTAATTTATAAATGCTTTTATACTTACAGATCATTGAACATCTTCTGGTTGATACTTGTAATGCCAATAATGATTAATATTAGTGTTGTGGACTGTAACGCTTTTTTTATTTTTTGGTTCTCGGATAGGAGTAATTAGGATTAAATAATAGTAGTGAACGCACTTTACTTACACTAAAAATCTCGCTTTATTGAAATTTGGCGAGACGGTGCCGATTACATTGATTGTACGCGACTGACTCAAAGTCACACAATATAATTTTAGTCCGTGATAATAATAATAATAATAATAATAATAATGTTATCGGGATCGGGCCACATTTCGCCTTTATCAAGACCGAACGAAACCGACACAAATACAAAATAATAATATAAAATAATATCATGCGTCAACAATTAGTAACTTAACCTATTAATAATATACAATTAATTCAGGAAATGTGTCAACTTTCAAAAAGATTGTCATCTATCGACTATCAACTGATAAGTAAGTAACCGATAACAATGTTATACACGATATTAGAATCAATTGTTTCTAGAAAGAAGGTGTTAACTGTTAAATTGATAATAATTTAAAAATAACTAGTTATATAATAATAAACATTATTTGATATAAAAATTAACACTTGAAAAGTAATAATGTGATAGTAAAATTGTTCACTTAAATTAGATAGTTACTGTTAAGTAGCTGGTAGTATAGATTGGTAGATAGGTACTACGTGTTAACATTAATTGAGCGATTATTTGTACCTAAATATAAATTGCACAGTGTGTATTTAATTAGTATTTTCAATTTGTATAATATAAAACGTTTGACAAAAACAAAAAAAAACAAAACAAAAAAAAAACAAAATTGAGGAAAATTAAAATGATATAGGTACAAGTATCAACGAAACTTTAAATTTAATATAATATCTATGATAAATTAATAATTATACGTACATACTTTTTCTGTACTTTTGAAGTTATGTTTAGTAGTATATTGTACTCTTATCATAACTTACTATATGTTTATTTAAAATTTAAATTAAAATTTCAAAAACTTGGGTAGAAGTTTAGACTATTGGTATAACTAGGTCTAAAATATTAGTGGGAGTACGTTAGGCTACAATAGTAATTAATAAGTATAGCTTAAAAGATTGTGTATACAGTGTATATAGGTACATACATATTATATTAACAGCTTTTTATCGTTTAATAAATAATAATACTTTTACAAAAATTTCAATTTTTAGAATTTTTGAGTACTCTTGAATAAGATCATATTTTTAAAAACTTGGGTTTTTTGTACCATTAAGTTCGAAAAGTGTGATTATTGTAATTCATAAGATGCTTTATTATGATAATATGATACTGAATATTGAGTTTTCTAAATGATTTACATTTTTTATAGTATAGGTACCTTGTACCTACAATAATATTTTTATAGACGGTTTCATAAATTAGTTTACTTGTAATAGTAGTACATTTGTATACGTATGTAGCTATATAGGTATTTGTACATAATATATTAATATATAAATTATACATAAATACCTATTAAGTTATGCTATAAAATTTTACTATACTATAATAATATACATTAAAATTTCTAATCAAAAGATATTAATATTAATAGGTATATTATTATATAATATAATAATGTTAAAATACTAAATGGGATAAATGCTCCTTTCTTAATCATTCACTTGCAAGCGGTGCCATCAATATTATAAATGTTATTTTTTTTTAAATTCCTTTCTACGTGTATTTATTAATCAATAATCATATCATCAATCTATTGATTTTAGTATAATTCTAAATTTGTATTGTCTCATAGTTATAATACACTGGTAGGATGTGTCGTACAATGTAAATAGTCGTCAATGTTATTTGTTTAATTTTTTTTTTTAATAATACAGGAAGGATTAAATTTTAACAAATGAAATATTTTTATTAAAGTAGATCAGGCCTATGAAGCAGATGTGCTGAGGCAACAAAAATTGTATTATTTATAACGCCGTCAAATAACAGTGCAGGGGACTCCAGGTCAGTCCAGAGAGTCCTGGTCGGTCCGTGGCCGTCGAGGTATTCGAGGTATTTGACGAGATACGGAAGAACGACATAGGAGTATTGTTTTTTTTTTAATAAATCGTGTTTCCGACCAATAATTGTATATTTTGTTTGAGTAACCACGCAATTCTGTCATACTCCTTTCAATCCAATCTGAAACCGGCTAATTTATAGCCTTTGAGGATTAAAAGTCTAAGCAGTTAGGTAGCGATATCGACTTTTGAGAACCAACTGAAACCGATTAATTTATGGTCTTTGGTAACTCAACTGTCGATAAATGTATATAACACCGAAAGGTGGGTATACGACAGATGTATTATTAAATATAAAATAATTTTTGTACAATTCAACATCCAACATTTATTTATCTAGATTTGAAGAGCAGATTTTGTGGGGAGGGTTTAACCACTGCTGAAAATCGATTAATTTCGTTAAATACTTGGGAACGGCCGTATAGGGGATGAAGTTCTACACGGGTTATTCACTTGGGTTTTCATTAGTTCTATGGAACCGAATGGAACAGGATAATGATTATTGTAAAGCCAGCTTCCGCATGACTACATCTTAATTTTAAATTATAAACACAGTTCAGAAGTACGACGTAACGGTTAGTGTTTTGAACTTTAAATCTAAATATATAATGTACGCTCCACTAAACGATCACCTATTAAGTGTTCACTATTTTTAAACCATAACAACGTTACACAATAATAGATATTACTTGTTGGTGAATAGTGGGGCAATTAATAACAAAGTTGTGGCCTTGGTGACTTGGCATGTGTGGTATTGTGGACTGTGGTGTTATATAGTGGTAATGTCGGGGACGTCGGGCCAATGCGTAGAAGTCCGACGAATTGAATTGGAGGCAACCAGTTTTTAATTTTGATACATTTGTTGTAAAGATGTAGGTATTGTTTTATAATTTTAATTTTTAAACTTTTTAAAAACTTAATCTTCAAGTGAGCAGCGGTGGAACAGACGCTTGTATAATAAATTTCTCAAATATTCAAATGTACTTGCACCAACAACATTTTTAAACAATTTATATTTTAAATATCACACGAACCTATTTTAAATTATTTATTTAATCAATTATCAGCTGTTCAATTTTCAGACGGTAGAGTTAAAGCATAGGCGTAGAGTAATTATAATTTATAAATCGTTGTTTGGTTACTGCTGTCTAGCGTCCAGTTAAATTAAAAAAAAAAATAATAATAACTAATAAGTATCAACTACCATAGACTAGTATATTATAGTATCCAAAAACTACCTAACTGATTTGGACAGTCAACTCACAACAGCTGATCGATTAATGACCTCGTTATCATTCAGTGGTTTATCATTTATTGGCAGTATTTAGTTGTTAAACAAAATAAACAAAGCTCTGTAACAAATGACAATATTGAATATTCCACGGACATTGTAGTAATCACTAATCTGTGATAGTTACCAGTCGGCAGTCGCTACTCACCATAGTTAGCAGTCTGTTGTGTGTTTTGTATTATTGTTCAGCTTCGAAGGATTTATTGTGCGGTGCGCACACTAACGTTTTCTTCTCAAAACGACGACGTACCTGTTGTTGAAGCTTTTTAAAGTATGTTCTCAGTTTAAAAACTCTTGTTTTTATTTTTTTCAGGGAGCCTAACCATTTTAACTTTAATTGTCCAAAAGCACTTGTTTTCAAAACAAATTTTGTTAAATTTATTGTATTTTTTTTTTCAACTCACAGACTTGAAATGGCGACCAGATTAAAAAACTTGTGTTCTAAATGTATACAGTCTAAAGTGTATACTAATTATTTAAATTTATCAAGAAACTTGAGTAAGTAAAGATGATTTATTTGAGTATATCGTTGATAATTTGGCATGTAACCTTGTCCTTGCATTTTGAAGGTGTATTCAGCCATGGCCTTCACTTAAAAGACACTGTTCACCAACGTAATTTCCAGACTTCGCCTAATTGTTGGAATATAGAAAACTCCGGGTCAGGACGCAAGGGTGATAATAATGGCCATACAGGAATACTTTGTCCTAAGTGTCAAACTGCTAATTTAGAGTTTTTTTTAAGTAATTATATTATATAATATTTATTTTTTTTATAATTATAGTATACAAAATTTACTTTATATTTCTAATCTGTTATAGCTTCTAATCGATTTTTGAGATGTCAGCGATGTGATCATATATTCAAAGTGATTTCTGCCGAAGAAAATAATTTAAAAGATGTAACAGAAGAACAAAATAAATTTAAGCCACCTCCAATTCCAAAAGAAGTAAGTAGTTATTTCAAAAATCATTATTTGTTATAGTAATATACTATATTTATTAAGCATAGTATTATTTTAGTGTTTATTTACATTATATAATAGTATTTGACATTATTGTCATTGTTTAAAATTAAAATTAAAGTAAATTATTTTTGGTTGAAGTTGAGTATAAAGTTTTGATTTTATGTATTCAATCATGCCTAAAATAAATTAATTTCTAACTCTAATTTATAATTCTGAAAATATTTTTATCATGTTAAATTTTTTTATATTATTTTGATAAAGATAAATGTTGATAAATTATTTAATTGTATGTAAGTTTCAAAGTTCATATATATATATATATATATATATATCTATGATAATAATAATTGTAAGGTATAAAAAATGTATTTTGAAATATAGATGTTTATAATTAGATAAATAGTGTTGTAATAATTGTGTTTGGTTTCTTTACTAAATTAATTAACATTTAATAAATATTTTTTAAATATTTTGTTTATACAGATTTTTGTAAACCTTAATAAGTATGTGATTGGTCAAGAGTTAGCTAAGAAAGTGTTAGCTGTGGCAGTTTACAATCATTGCAAGCGTATTATTCATAATATTACAGCACCACAAAAGAATGATTCAATTGATCAACGATTACTAGATAACTTACAAAATGCAAGAGGTAATTAAATATCAATGTTTATGATTGTGCTTTTATAAGTAATAAAATTAATTTTTCTATTTATATACATATTTAATCACATTTAAAATTATTAGGAAAAAAGGTAACTTAGTATTATACAGTAAAAACTTTTTACTTCAGAATACTTCTGAACTAATTAATTTTTCCATTTAAAAAAAAAATTTGTTACAAGAAAACCTGACTAAAATAATCGGTTTATAGGTTGTATAGGTCTGTTGTTATTTTCCATAGTAAGAAGATTTCTGTCTTATAGTTGACAATATAAATTAGTTGTTCTGTATAATCTCATATAATTCTCACTATTTTTTTTAATGAAAAATTTAAAAAATAAATTGTTAATGTAAAATTTCATTTTAGAGCATTTTTCTAACAACAATATATTTGGAATGCCACAAATGGATAGTACAAAAAACAGTCAAGAAGAAATTAAAATTACTTCATCATTTGAAAATACACTCTTAGAAAAGAGTAACATTATATTATTGGGGCCTACAGGCTGTGGTTTGTATTAATTTGTTTTAATGTTATTTTAAAAATAAATACAATGTCTTATTATTTAAAATTTATATTTATTACATTATTACAGTATAATTTATAAATATTAATTTAAGTGAATATTTTGTTTTCATTAGGGAAAACGTTACTGGCTCAAACAATAGCTAAGCAATTAGATGTACCATTTGCAATTTGTGATTGTACCAATTTAACACAAGCTGGTTATGTGGGAGAAGATATTGAAAGTGTAATTGGGAAACTTTTACAAGCCGCTAATTATGATGTTGAAAAGGCTCAAACTGGTAATACATAAATTTTAATTATTTATTTAAATATTATAATAATTATTCACGTTGTAATAATAATTAATAATACTATTCTAATATCACCTAGAAAAATATGTGTTTAATTTTTCAAGTATAGAAAATAAATAATTATGTCTATAATATTATTATCGACACTAATTGATTTGTAACCAATTAATTTTACAATATGTTTTGCCTCCTAAAGTATTAATTTTACATCTATTCATTAATTTTCTGATTTTTCACTAAGAAGAATTAATTTTTGAAAATATTAAAATTAAATCTATATTATTACTTATAATAGGGTCGACTAAGTAAATTAGTAGTTAGCCATCGTTTCAGTCACCATATTTTGCTAGTCGTATTATTTATTGCCCAAAATTGTGTTTATATAATTTTATGACATAACTGAATGTCATGTTTAATGTTTGGATTCATGGTTACTTAAAAACAATGTAATAATAGTGTGCCAAATTTATGCTGACAATGCATCTTATATCATACTGCCTATAGATTATTATTCTATTGTTTATGAATCCTTAAATAAAAACTATTAGGTATATACTAGAATAACAATTGAAGCAAAGTTTTGATAAATATCGAGTAGACATTTTATAATCTATTATATTATCTATCATCTGTACTTTAATTTGGATATTTATATTTTCTAATTGAACACTATATACTACTATATGAATAAATAATTTATATTTTCAATAATTTTGCTGCACATATGAGGGCAGTTCACACTCTGTGAACTTTACAGAACACTATAAACCGTGGCACACAAATTAAGACTACTGTTCAGTCATAAAACAGAATATTTGAGCGGACGCTTCATCCATGTATGTTGCTTTGTCTTACAAATGTACAACATAGTAAAAACACTAAAAACCATGTTGGCAAGAACCATTCGGACTGTAGTCCAAATTAAACAACCAAATGTTCACATTAGAAAGAAGAAATTTTGAACTGTGCAACATCGTTTTTGTGTGTTTCAAACTTGAATAACTTTTTTGTAGTTTTGATATTGAAAAAATAAAACGATATTGTACAGTCCAAAATCTCTTCTTTTTAGTGTGAAAATTTGGTTGCTTGTTCTGGACTACAGCCTGAGGTATTCTTGTCTGGGTGAAACGGTTTTACTATGTTATATTTATGTAAGATAGAGACAATGCATTTGAAGTAAAGCATCCTTTTAGTTTTAGAAATATTTTATTTTATGACTATAAACTGCTATTAAGAGTTTTTATTATTTATTTTCTTTGCATATTTGATTAAGATGGCTAAAGATATGGATACAGTTATTGATGTTTAAAAATGTATACATTACGAATTGAATATGATTCCTTCTAATCATTAGACCTTTATAAGTATAGATTGTCTTTAACAACTTTGCTCAATGGCTACTAGAGCTTTTATTTATTGTTATCACTGATCAGTTAATCAGTTATATTTACTAATATTATTGTATTTGCTCTAAGAATGAATAAATATTTTAATAGTTTTACAATTACTTGAATGATGTTAGGTTTATCTATATTATTTTATCAATTTATTTTTAAAATAGTAAAGTGAAAAATTTTGCTATCAGGACTTTCAATATATAAAATGCAAATACATGTATAGTCTTAAGTATAGACAGTATAGTGTTACTAACATTTAAAATAGTTTTATTTATTTCTGTATTAAAACATAATATATGTCTAAGGAACATTATTTACATTATTTTTTTTTAATTCTTTATTTAGTAAAAATATGGTGACTTTTTATTGAAATGTATCCAATAGTTTAAATGATATCTTTACTTTACAATATATCTAAAATTATTAGCTCAATTGCTTTGTTTTGATTTCAAAAATAATGACAATATTTGTCAGTTTTACTATTTTAGTTGTTAGTCAATGCTTATTAATTAATTAATGTATACACAATTAAGATAAAGTATTGTACTAATTCATAAATGCTCTTAATATTATATAATTTAATGTTTAGTATAACAAAAAAAAAAAATGTTTTAGGAATTGTTTTCTTGGACGAAATTGATAAAATTGGTGCTGTACCCGGAATTCATCAATTAAGGGATGTTGGAGGTGAAGGAGTCCAACAAGGAATGTTAAAAGTAATTTTTAATCATTTAATAATTTTAATCGTAATTTTATACATTAACTAATTAATAATGAATGTTTAGAAAATAAATTAATAATGTTAAATTTAAAGTTTTTAATAATTCTATTTTGATTTAAACCCTGCGTTTTGGAAAAATGATTCTTATATTTGTTTTCTGGCATTTATGAAAAAGTACCAAATTATTAACATACTCTTTAATTAATGATTATAATATTTTATAATTGAAATATCTCTTGTTTCGTGGTAAACTATAAAAAATTTGACAAATTTTATTAACTCCAATAAAAAACAAACCTAAGGAGGAAATTAAGTTTAAAAAAAATTTTGTTTATTTTGCTTCAGGTTTTTACTTTTTATACAGAAAATGTTTTTTAACGATGCTCATTGAATTATTTTAGATTGAAAATTTAATCTTTTATACAATATGATTGAAAACAGCGTTAATGTTTTTGAATACAAAACAGTAATAAACAATATTAATTGTTAATCTAACAAAATAGTTTAAAGGCTAAACAGTATCATTATTGATAATAGCATCCTATTAAATACTTTTCTCATTTTAATTAGACATTGTACTAGAAAAAGAAATCAGAATAAATTACAAATAGTTGTATTAACTCATTATTATCTATTTTATTTTATTTTTTATGAATTAACATATAATTAACTATTTTTATTAGTTCTTATCCTTTTTTCTATACTATTTATGTATGGTGATTTGTGGTATATTATTATATTTACAATAGTATTTTTATAATATATTTTATATTTATTGTATTATAGATGTTGGAAGGTACTGTTGTTAATGTACCAGAAAAAAATACTAGAAAACTTCGAAATGAAACAGTTCAAGTTGATACTACTAATATACTGTTTGTTGCTTCTGGTGCATTTACTGGTCTTGATAGACTTATAAGTCGCAGGACAAATCAAAATGTAAAAGAATAAATAGTTAATTCTTAAATTTGAGTTTAATTCATTAATTATTTTTTTGTTTTTTAGAGTCTAGGATTTGGTGCAGAAATTAATAGTGAAATGGGAAGCAGAAGGGCTGCTGCTGAAGCTGATCGTGTTGCTTCTACAGCTTCATACACTGATATTGAAAAAGAAAATGCTGAAAGAGATGGGTTGTTAAAAAAAGTGGAACCAAGAGATTTAATTCAATTTGGAATGATACCTGTAATTATTAATCTATTTATTAATGAAATGAATTAAGCTTATGTATAGACTTATTGATATGAGTAAATTATTTATTTTATTTAAAAATAATTTTTATTGTAATTTGAATTTCAATATATCATTAAAATACCAATTTATTTTGACCAAAAAATCATATGCTAGAAAAAAAAAAAAATTACTCAATTACATTTTCAGTTAAATTGTAAATTTCAAGTTAATTGTTCACAAATTATATTTCATGGTAAAATATTTGAAATAAAATATTTCTTATTAAGTTTTCATTTCCATATATTATGTAAAAAAAAACGGGTAGATAATTTAAAATATTTATGTTTTTGATTAAATATATTTTTATTCAACATTAATTATTTTAAAGTTCTATTCCTAGGTTTATTAAATTCTGAACTATGCTAGTGCCCATTAATGATTATTTTTAAATAATTTTAATTTTAATTAATAAAATATTGCATTATGATCAATTGTTTATAAAAAACAGTTCATACAAATTAAATATAAAATTGCTATACATAATTTTCAGTTTTTTATATTATATTCATAATCTTTAAATGGTTAAAATTGAAAAAAAAAAATTAGTCATCATTGTTTGAATTTTTTTTGGTCTGGTGATAAGATTAAACTATAATTATTAACACTTAACAATAATTCATAATTATTATAAGTTATAACAATGTCATCATGCTTTAGTAATTTGATAGACAAAGATTATTTTTTAATGAACCATGTGCATTTAAAAAAAAAATAATTTTATTGAAAACTAAAGTTTTATTCTAAGTAATTATATTTATTAATAATAATATTGCATTAAATACATTTGTTTATATATTATTTTATTTTTACTAGGAGTTTGTGGGAAGGTTTCCAGTTTTGGTCCCATTCCATTCCTTAAATAGAAATTTGCTTGTGCAAATTCTTACTGAACCAAAAAATAGTACAGTCAAACAATTCAAATTACTATTTGGTTTAGACAAAGTTGAATTAACATTCACAGATGAAGCGCTAAGAGCCATTGCCTCGCAAGCTTTAGAAAAAAAAACAGGTGCTCGAGGGTTACGAGCAATTGTGGTAATATTATACTCTAAATTCTATTTTTTTTATGAAAATGTTAGCATTGAAGTAATTACCAACTCAAATTTTAACTTTTACTAACAAAATAAAATATGTAATTTAGTTTATTTATCATTTTAATTAATTTTAAAAATAAACTTACATAGTTACGTACTGAAATTTTACTAGACTACAGTACTTAATAAACTGTAAAATATATTAATAGTTAACAATAATTTAACAATAATTTACATTGCATATTACTTAAAATGTTTAAAGGAATCAATTTTGTTGGACCCAATGTTTGAAATTCCTGGTTCTGATGTAGTAAGTGTACATGTTACTGAAGATGCAGTCAATGGTAAAATGAATCCACATTGTATAAGAGGCCGTCCAATTGACGAAGGAGAAGCCAAAATGGATACAAGAGCTAAAGTTGAATAAATTTCCATGGTTTTAAAAATATCTATACTGTCAAAAATAATTAAAGTTTGTTAAGCAATTTATAAAAACCTTTATTCAAGAAATATTTATTTCTATTTAAATTAATTTTGTTTTTTGTCTTTAAATTGTTCTAATATTTAGAATTTAACGTTATGTAAATTTCATTATAAGAATAAAGGTATATAGTTAATGTATTATTTGTGATACTATATGAGATATAAAATTAAGTATTCATAATTAAATCAATTCTTAACAATAATATCAATTATTATTTTACTTTAGAATAGTTATATTATTAAAAATTGATTTATTTGTGAATATGTTTTAACTATCGATTTATATTAGGTCTTCAATATAATTATTATTTATTATTATTATTATTATTATTAATTATTATTAATTATTATTACACAATAATATTTATTGAAAGTAAAAATAAATAATTTTTTTTTTAACATTTTGTTCGATAATTAAACTTATTTATAATTATCTAAACGACAATAATTAAGAGAGAATGAAAGAAAGTAAGTAATTGCTCCACTATACAGTATAGTAATGGTGTGCTGAAGCAGGATTTTTTATGACAATTTTCTCAAGATAAAGATGGGTGAGATGGTAGGTGGGTATTGAGCAATAGATTTAGTGGGATAAAAAGTTTTTAATAGTTATAGTTAAATTGTTAAGTAAAAGAAAAAAAAATTAATTAAAAGTTGTGGGTTTATAGGTGATCAAATGATAGTTTGTCTCAGGTCTAAAAATTGTTGAGCACATTACTCCAGTAGAAATATAGTGTATCATACCATTGAGAAAGTCACTAAAATGGATACACTAAATTTGAATTTAATGATAAATTTTTACAAATGAAAATCATTTTTGAGTAAAGGACAGATTATTTCCACTATTGTTCCATCATATAAATATATTGCTACCAATTAAACTAAATTAAAGTAATGTACTTTACTGTAATTAATAAAAAATCTAAATAGGGAATCGCATGAAATGAATTAAAATATTTTTTAAATGTCATTATTTATATGTAAAAGTTTCAAATTTCCACGAGAAATATTTTTCAATTTCAACAAAATAATAAAAATTTAATATCCTTCATTTAGTTATTGATTTTTGTCCAAAATCCAAATTTGAACTTCATACGTCTATAATATCTATCTATTTTTAGATTTTTTAGTTTCAGTATATTATACTATCTGTGTATTAGGTACTTATAAAATACCTCGATTTCAAGCCTTAGCATCTACAAAATAATTTTCGAAATTCAATGAATTATTTAATTAAAATGTTTATTTAAAATAATTTAACATTTAATTTCAGATTCTGAGTGTAATGAGAGATGTGTGTTTTTTTGCGTGTGTACACAATAAGTAGTTGGAAAAAAGTGATTGATTTTCAACTTTGTGGGTGATTTTGAATAAAAAATTGGATCGAGTCTGTACTTTAAACAGGTAAAAATTAAAAATGTCCACAATTTTATTTATAATCGGAATAAAATAAACAAAAAGTCGAGGAAAACCGGGAATTTTTACTCCATTCTAATATTGTTATTAAAAAAATTTGTTTTGTAACCTCGCCACCATGGTCATCTCATAACTTTTACTTAAATTATGAATTTATGAGAAATTAAATTTAAATTTAACTATGATAACGATTAATGACTTATCATTGGTAACGATTATCATTTATCACTGTGTTTCTTTTTTTTATGTTAACTGATATCTGATAGTGATTACTGATTAGTGATAGGTATTGGATGTGAAGTGTTTTGAGTTAGACATAAAAATTGAACAGGACTCTTAACTGTACAGGAAGTTTGTTTCGCATTCATACAGAGGTTTTAATGTAAAACTTCTAATTTTTGTTATTTAGATTATCTGAAAGACCAATAAACTAGAAAAAAAAATCACATCTTTCTGTTGGTGTTCAAGACATGTGAAAGAAAAAAACACTTATATAGTCAATATAGTTTAGTCAGGAACCTACTTACAGATCACTATGTCTCATATTGGTAAATTCGGTCTAATGGGAGGAAACTTTAAAAAACCACCTCAGCGGAAAACTAGGTATGAGATCGGAGTGTAAAACAAACAGTACCTATGTTTGTATTACAATTGTATTAACAAGTCGGGTTGTTTGTTTAGATTGAATCGTTCATACGAAGAGTTGACTCCCATATCTTGGAGTGAGTATTTTGAACATAAACGCTTTGTTGAAATTGATGGTAACAGGTTTGCGACCTACTCACTGGGCAATGTTGAATCTGTACTGATTGTTTTGCTCCACGGTGGAGGGTTTAATGCTCTCACGTGGTCTCTTTTTGCTGTGAGTAACACTATAATTGTTTGATGTAATATATGTTAAGTAGTTTTCTATTAATACTAAATGTGTGTAATAATTTTTTTCATTATTTTGGTGCACAACGTTATAATGTTAAAATATCAATTTTACTATAATTTTAAATCTAATCTTTGGTGTTTGCTTTGATAAATTAACCCATAGAGTTATGTTAGTTGTTTTCTTTTGGTACATTATGTAATAGTTATCAAAAACATATATAACAAAATGCAGTAGAATATTTTGTTCTATCAAATTATCTTGCTAACATGAAACAATTTTGTTCTATAATTCAATCATAAGCAGAGATTAACATGTTTCAAAATTATTTTATATTAGATTTTAAATTAAATAGTATTCAAATATCCTAAATACTATATTATTAATTTAAATCATTTTGTTTTCTAGAAACATTTAGTAAAACAATGTGAATGCCAAGTATTAGCAGTTGATCTTCGAGGACACGGAAATTCATTTACTACAGATGATAATGATTTATCAATGACTACTTTTACTAAGTAAACTTTTTTTTGTATGTCTATATTTTCATACAGAATATTTTAATTGAATACAAATATATTGCAGCGATGTCATAAGTTTATTACGTAAATCATACCCAGACAAAATGCCTTCAATAGTTTTAATGGGCCACAGTCTTGGTGGAGCTATAGCTGTAAATATTGCTTCTTCTGCAGAATCAGATTTGCCAATTATTGGTTTGGTTGTCATTGATGTGGTTGAAGGTTCAGCAATGGAATCATTGGCTAGTATGCAAAGTTTTTTGAGAAGTCGTCCAAAATCATTTAAAAGTTTAACAGATGCTATTTCATGGGGGTATGTATGTAATATATTATATTTAAGACTTAAATTTAAAATCATATCATAAGAATTCAAGTAATTAATAATATGAATATTTTGTAAAAATTGGAAAACAACTTTTTGGAAATATATTATAAATAGTTAGGTATAATAAAAATGATATTTAAGTTAATATAATATTTATTTTGATAAAATTTTAAAAATTATAAATGTTAATTAATTTACAATTAGATAACATGTTCTAAATGTCTAAAGAATTTATGTTAACAGTATTCAAAATTTTCCATTTTATAGAATTTACTATTTAATGTTTAAATACAGATTATCTGTGTACATTTTTAAAAGTTATTGTTAGAAAGTTTTAGTGTTAATTTAATGTGTTTGTTATTGTTTTCAAATTTAGAATGGGGAATGGTCATATAAAAAACGAAGAATCTGCCAGGGTTTCTATTCCAGGACAAATAAAAAAGTAATAGTATAGCTATATATAAATGTGTTAATTAAACATAACTAACTGTTTTGGTTTTAGTGTCGCCACTGGTAAACTTGGTACAGATGAATTAGAAGAGCCAACAATTGACACTCCAGTACTAACAGAAACTATCTTAGAACCTCAATATTCAATAGATTCTATTAAAGAAGATGAAGAGTTTGGGGCATCTTCAATTTCTGTCAGTAAAACCAATTTAGTAACTCATAATTAAAATTAAAATGTTTTAATTTATATCTTGTATTTTCTAGAATCAAAAATTATTGGGTAATTATACATGGAGAATTGACTTGTGTAAGACAGAAAAGCATTGGCCTGGGTGGTTTCAAGGACTTTCAAAAAAATTCCTATCTATACATGCACAAAAATTATTATTACTGGCTAACATTGATCGTATGGACAAAGATTTAACTGTTGGTCAAATGCAAGGTAACATAATATTGTATAAATGAATAATTGCTCTTTTTTGAAGAGAATTTAATGCCATGATTTTTATTATTTTGAATTATTAATAAATTAGAATATATTTACTATTTTATTTTTTGATAATTAGGTAAATTTGAAATGCAAGTATTAACTAGAGTTGGGCATGCTGTACAAGAAGATGATCCAGAAAAGGTTGCTAGTATATTGTCAAATTTTTTGGTACGAAACAAATTTGCAAATCCAACAGGAGATTTTGTTCGGTAAGTCAAAATATTTATTTCAATTTGAAAAATAGTATTTGAATTTTTTTTAAATATTTAATAAATATAAGTTAACAAATAACAATTATATTAAATGTTAATTTTAAAAATAAGTCATAAGTCTGTGGATGAAAGTTAATGAAAAGGTTATTTGCATTTAAAGTCATTAACAATGTATCTATGCAAATAGGAAGCAATTAATTACAGTTCATAAAATAGACATCAATTATAAATGTCGATGAACTACAATACATATTTTTTTAATTTTTTCCATTTAGACAATATTGTGTTAATAGAAAATAGTATTGGATGTGAACAGAAGTGACAAATTCAATCAAACATACATTTTTTATAATATTAAATATTGATTAAATATCAATGTAGTAATCAAAATATTTTAAAATTTTTGTTGCAGTATTCTTCCTGGTTGTTAAGTTGTGCTAATCAAATACTTACCTGATTAGCACCTTCTCAAATTAATAAGATAAGTGAGTGTGTCAATTTATGAGTTAGACATATTTATATATTTTTTAATACATATACTTATAACTAAAACAAAAACATTAAATTATATAAACAATTATATAAAATTTAATACGTATCAGTGGATGTACAAACTATATTCTATTAATAATTAATATTTTACTTAAAAAAAAAAAAACAAGCATGTGTAATACATATTTCCTATGCAGTTTACAATAATCTGTACTTTTATACATATAAAATTTGATTTTGTGAAATATTATTAATAAAATGTATTTAATGTTGTATTTTTTTTTTTTGAAATTTTTTTTTCATATCTACTTAAAAAAGTAAGATTAATTTAAGTGGCTATTATAATTATTTATTGAAAAACAAACAAGTTACTCAATTAATTAAAAAGAAGTATAAACATTTAATAAAATAAAACAAGGAGTTATTATTAATTAGGAGTTTTGATTTCATGTTTTAAACAAATTTTGAATGCATCCCATCCTTCATTTTTTGTGTACGACTAGAACAAAGTGTCAACATAAATTATAAAAATGTATTGATATTTTAATTTTTATGCCTTAATAACATAATATGATTATGCAATATTCAATTTAACTAATGTTTATTAATTCATAAATTATTGAAAAATGTTAAAAAAAATTATATTTTAATACTTATATTTAATAGTAAAATTAAATATAGAGAATTGGTACCTTGAATCCTCTATTTAGTCGGTCCTTCATAATGGCAATGAACTCTCTATAACTCAATTGACCATCACCATCCTCATCAAATATGGCAAACACAGTATGCACAAGATGCTTGCTCAAACTGGTTCCTGTACATATCTTAACAGCTCTATGAAATTCGTCTGAAAAGTAAAGTACAATATTGTTCTTAGGGCTAACATAAAAATATACCAATGAATGATGAAGTTTCCAAGTTTAAATTTTGATCAGTGTTGAACAAATGGAATATATAGGACATTCTCAAAAAAAAAAAAATATATTTTTTATCATTATTGTTTTAACTATAATAATTAAAAAAATATATTTTGTATAATATAAGTAAATTAAAAACTAATACCACAAGAACTCAAATCACAAATAATATTATTTGATAACTTTTAAAATGTATATTTTCAATAATTCAAGTGATTTTCAGTTCTCACAATATTTTCTAACTGTTTTTAATTGTCTATGCTGATTATTTATTAATATTTTGTTAGTTATTACCTTTAGATATAGGGTGATCAGCTAGTGTATACATTCTCATAGCAATAGTAAAGTCTTCCAAATTGTTTAAGAATTGACAGAACACTTTAAACTCGTCAAACGAAATACCTGGTGGTATGCCTTTGTCCATTTTGATTCTCTCCAACAATCGGTCTAAATATGTATCACACCTATTTCAAGTACATATTTTCAAATTAAAAAAGTTATAACAATGCGTAAAATAAATCAAAATGGCTTACAGATTTGTATCCAAGTGAGTGTATCTCAATAATATTTTGGCAAAATCCATTTCGCTAATGGTATCTCCTCCCTTGGCAAACTGTTGGAACTCCATTTCAAGTACTTCAGTTTGTAGATTTTCCATGAAACTAACAAATAGTTTATACCATTGTATCACTTATTATAGACATGTTTGATATTTATTATTTTAAGTAGATTAAAATAAGTGGAGTGAATAATACTAAAATGTCCACTTTAATACTAGTAATTATTTCTAGTTTAAATATACATTTATCTAAAAAGTAATATATTTTTGAGTATATTATGTTTAAATAATTTTTTGTTCAATACAATTGTCAATTAGATATAGATAAAAAGATGTTTTTGTATATTTCTAAGTTTTGAGCATATTGACGAATATATTGGTTTTAAAATGATTTTTTTTTTGGTGTGTCATTCATCACGTTTTCAAGCAGAAAAAAATACTTCTATCATTAATTGACTGAGAGGATAATTTTTGACAGAAAATTAGATATATACTTGTGCTATAAAACGCGTTAATTTGAAAATAGAAACAGGATGAGGAATGAGGAATGAAACACATAAAATAAAAACAGTAATGAAATGATTTCTCTCCACACCCTTCTCACCCATAAAAGAAAACGTCCACCACTGATTTATTAAAGCACTTGGTCGTTCAAAATATCTTGATTGTGAACTAACTTATTCTTACCAGAACCGTCAGAATAGCGTCCGATTGAAATAGGAATGCTGCAGGAAAATTATATACACATGTGTCGTGTGCCTAACTTAACCTACGAGAAAAACGAATTCAAACTATTTAAAACCCCTCACCTCATCTAATAATGTTTTGTATTTCTATACACTACAACATCGTGGTGACGATTGTATTTACTAAAAATTGTAGAATATAATACATAATAATGTAAAAAATTATTACTTTCTGAAGTCTTCGTACAGTAGTACGTTGTCTCCCTTTTTGCCGAAAAAATGAACGATCAACGTAGTGTCGACTAAATGCTTCTTCTGTAGACCCTGAGCGTCATCCACAAAATCGTCGGCGTTTATTTTATCCGTGTCAGACTTGCCGTCTTCCACACCGTGTTTGTCTTTCCAAGACTGGCTGAAGATCTTTTCCATCTTAACCGACAAACGTAAAATGTCAACCATACACTACTTATCGTGTTAGTATAATTAAGAAGTAAGAAGTAGTTGTAGAATTGCAAATGCGTACATTTATTAAACAAAAAATATTGTGCGGATAAATGAAAAAAAAAAGTCGTAAGCGTAACACGCAAACATAAAATGTACACATTATAGACATATGTGTGTGTATAAAGCAAAGCAAATAAAATAAATACGTAAACAATAAGATAAACCGACCAATTCATTAGCAGCGCGATTAATGATGTTTGAATCTTCGTCCGGCATCCATTGATTGACACTGACTTGTTTCGTAGATAATTGGGACAACTGTAATATCACATGTATGTAACAAAACGCCCACTTACATTTTTTATTAAGCCACAAAACATTTGGTACCCCTCACCAGCTTTTCACGATTTTCATTATTATTTATAATTACTTTGCAGGATAATAGGGTAGACAAATACGGCGACGCTACGTCGGTACATCATAATTCATTAAAATGTATCTATAATGTATTCATGTATACCAATACGTAAACATGCTAATAGTGATTCTTTTATTGAAGAAAACTTATAATTTCAAAATATATTAACGTTTTTGAAAAAAAAAATTTTAAGTTTTTAATTTTTTGAACGATAACATATTAACATAGGTACATTTTTAATTTCATATTTTGAAGCAAAATATTTTTATGAGTATTTCGATCAGTGGCGCAACCAGGATTTTTTAAGGGGGGATCCAAAAATATTATTATTTTAAAGTAACAAGCAAATTTAATTATTACTTATTGTTTGATTAATGTAAACATTGTAATTATAATGTAATATTGAATGATAATTAAACGTAAAGAATAAAGGTATGTATGATGCGTACATACTGCTGTAACAACAAAATTACGGCATTTTAGAAAGATACGTCACGGTTCAAGGGGGGTGGGTGGTCCGAACCTGAAGACCCCTCCCTGGGTTGCGCTATTGATTTCGATACATAAAAATCGAAATGCGAACGAATAGTTTGTAAGTTATTAGTATGTTAAGTTCTTGCGAGCGGAGTGAAATGATACGGAGGTATCACATAAAATATTGGTCTATTACTTCGCTTACCTACACTTGTAGTTATAATTTATAAATAATAAAATAATTTTTTAAATATATTTAGTTTTATAATAAAAATTAATATTGAAATTACAAATAATATAAAAAATAATAACATTTTTAAGTTTTAGAAATGTTCGTTCCAACAATTAAAATTAAATAATTTTTTAAGCTGTCATTTAAACTACTTCAAAGTAAAAATAATTGGCATATTCCTCAAAAAACAACCAAATAGGTCTTTTTGTGTATTAAGGATACTCCGCTATGATTTTATCAAGTATGAAAAAAATTTAAAAATTTAAATATAATTGTATGTACAAAAATACCTGATAAATCTTGGTGTTATGCCATTCCTTTTAAGGATTGACAAAATTCTCGTTACGACTAATCGACCATTCCTTGCACTTCATGGAAATATTCTATTTGAGAGAGACCATTATAATTAGCCTATTCACGAGAATGTCCATTGACCCAAGCTCAATTATTAAACGTTAAGTTGTTGTTTCCTTTATTTATTAAAAAAATATTGAGGTTTGATTTTTCACGAATCGTTCTTTACACATGGATCCATGGGTTCTGAAAGTATTTTTCCATTATTTTCGTAATTTTTAGCTAAAATAGAAGTAGAACTGGTAAAGCGTATCTGTGTATTGTGTCAACCGCTATCATCGATAGACCACAATTATTTAGATTAAACTGCAGCATAATCAAAGACAGCTATTTTATCGAAATACATAAACATAATTTTAATGTTTTAATTATAGGTACCTACTAAATACCGATATAATATTTATATATCATATAATAATACGTACTCGTACATTATGATGTGGTTATGAAAACTCGTATAATACATATTAATATAATAATTAATTATTAGTTAAACATATTAACACATTGCGCAATAATCTAATGATAAAATGACCCATTTTGCTTGTAGATTTTATGTACTTATGGGTATTCTATGATAATGCAATCGTATATATTTTTAATTTTGTTAACAAGAGTGCACAAATTAAGTCAGACGAACTACGAATAAATAGACAAATAAGACGAATATTGTTTAGGTACTCGTACAATGGTGAGTAATGTGTGATCGTTGTTATTGTAAGTATGTGAGAATATTTATTAGACAATATATTATAAATAGAAACGACAGAATTATAGTCAGTACGAAATATTGAAATAAATGACCCAGACAAAGTACAGGCAACAAAAAAAGCATGATATTAATTTACTTTTCATGCAATTTTGTTTTACAAAATATATCGATTATAGATTAATAATATATTTTTATTAGTGAGTAAAATAAGACGTGTACAGTGCTAAACATGTTAACAATATATTTTAATTATTTTTTATTTTTTTTTTTTAAATTTAAACATTAAATGTTTATAAATAGGTAAATACAATATATTACTTTAATATTTGATATTTTGATTTAATGAACGAATTCATGAAATTTTAACTTATTTTTTTTTGGGGGGGGGGATAAAATAAATCGTAACTACTAACAGATTAAACAACCTATTTTCCGTATTGAATTAATGAAATACATTTTTTATTATTTAATTTACCGTTGTAGATATAGAAGTAATAGAATCGTGATTTCATTATTAATATCTGGTAACTGGTAATGTTGATCATAAAATACATAAAATCTTTGATTTAGTAATTAGTATTTAGGACCAAAACATTCAAATAGATATATAAAATAAATTATTAACTTTGAAATAGTATTTATTGTTTTGGATTCTACTCAATATTTTCTATACTCTATTTTAACTTTTTAGTAGAATAAATACTAATATTAATGATAATAGTGTAAGACGTTTCTGGCATACGTAAAATAATTCGATAGAAATATGTAGTAATAATAGTTATAACTATGTGTCGTTGTTTAATAATATAAGCAGTATTTTAAATATAATATGTTAGATGCCTAAAATTAAGTAGATAAATTTTAAGTTTGTTCGTTAACATTTGATTTGCTTTCATCGCAGACAAAAAAAAACATATCTTTTATTAGGTATTATATTATGTAACATGTTATTCAATCTTAATTATTACTAAATATTATTACCAGGGGGCCACCCTATTATCCGTATTTAAAAAGTATAATAAATAAATAACCATATTATAGACAACTCACTCACAATTTCTTTAGCATGTTTATTAAGATCTATTCTGAGGGCTGGTTTTCCAGCTAGGAGCCGTATTATCTGATAAAACATAAAATAAATAATAAAATAAAAGTAATGAGAAATATTATATTGAACAACGACATTAAAAGACCCAATTTTTTTTTTAAAACGACAAATATTTAGCGGTAATAAAATAATACCTAAAACTAAACTTTTATTTATTATATGATATTACAACGCGTTCTAAACAAACACTTAACTTAGACATGGTTAACACCATAAATAAATAAATACGAAACACTTAACTTATATATTGTTGTTTGTAGAAAATTTGTTTAATAAAATTTAACGAACTGGAAGATTTAAATTTAAATGCAAAATAACTAAAATGAAATAGGTGTACAATTGAGGTATTGAACTCATTTAAATTAGCTTCTAGGGTAAAAAAGTGACGTCATTTAAATCACATCGTATTTAAAATCCATTATTATCGTGATTTGGCCCACGTCTTAAATTGGTTGGTCTGAAAAATGGATAATTCCAGGCATAGTTTTTGGGGTGCGTACAAATACATATATTAAAAATAAAATTTAAATAACGCCACTGGGGTGAAAAAATAATATTTTAGTTTGAAAAGGCAATACGCATATACGTTATTTCAACTGTACACTTTTATTGTATGATAAAATACATATATCTACCTTTATATAAATACATGCAATATGAACGTTAAACCCCAATAATAGAAGTAGTTTTACGTCCAGAAATTATGAAAATAAAAATTTATAAATGAAAATTAAAAATGGTGAAAACATGCAGGATGGAATAAAAGTTTAACTTGATGATTTAAAAATACAGTAAGACGTCGATCACAGATAATTATTATTATAATATATGATTTCATTATGTAAATAATTTATTTTAAAAAAATTGAAAAATTAAAATCCGAATAAGTTTAATCTTTGAATTACTGTATTATTAAAAATAAAATACTAATAAGAACTATATTACATATAAAAACTAATAATAGATTATAATTACGATATGTGCTATATTGTTCTTACCACCAGAAATTCATTTTTGTCTACTCTATGGTTTCCATCCGTATCAAACATATTAAATGCTATACGAAATCCACTCTGTGGTTCTGCAAGGAAACGGTTTTAAATTCACAATAAGTATAAAATATGATGCCGAATCGGAAATATTTTTAATTAAATCACTTTGCTTTACTCACTAGTTAACACAGATAATAAAAACAAATATTCTGTATAAGATATGATTCCTTTGTCTCGGAGTGTTCGAAAAAGTTGTGAAGATCCTTTTTTAAGCCCAGGCACTTTATCACGAAATTCTTCTAAATCCTTATCTACCATTAAGTGTCTCTGAAGTCGAGCTAGAAAAACAATGACACATTTTTTAGAAATTAATGAGTTTATTATCTATGTATGATTTAAATTAAATATATAGTAGGTAAATAATTTGTGAAAAATAATAGTTTTTCTTTTAAAGAGTTTAGTTTGAATAAAACATTCGAAAAACGTTAATCGTAGGGACTTGAGATTTTTCACCATTACGTTAATTATTATTTTCTATATACAATGAAATTTTCTAGATATTTAGACAAGGTAATTTTAAGTTGTTTAAATTTTGTAATTCTATAACCGTTCAACGATTTGCGGTATTGTCTTTTGAGTTAGGTTATAACTGGTGATATAATATTATAATAATTATTGGTTGATAATATATAGTATAATATATGCGATGTATTTGCTAAAAGTTAGTTCAATATGCCATACTTTTAATAAGAGTACTATTAAATCACGTGTAAACGTCATAAATGTTATATACTGTAGTGTGATGACTGATGACCGATGACAAGGCGCTTAGTGAAACTGTCTTGGATCCTTAATTACGTTGACGCGCCGTTTCTGTTAGGGAAACGGTGTATCAGAATGCGGATAACGTACAGCCGTGGATAAATATATTTTGTCATTTAAGGTACGGCGGATAGATTGAATGATATTGTGCACTAAAAACTGCATTAAATCGTGTGTGTCAAGTTTGTCAAGAGCAATTTGGATTACAGACGAGACGGTCGGGCAGTACCATTACCGCGTCAGTTGTTTTACGAAAACACACAATGTTGAAGCTTTATCATGGTGATAAACTACATTCGATATGCCGTTGCGTTATATTTTTATTATCATTATAAAAACGTATTTTTTTTTTTAAAAAATCTGTAATGAATAAAACCATACATAATTTGTACAGTTGTTAGAAAAATGTATCAGGAAACCCCATTTACTAATATAGACCGCATGTTAAGTACAGTTGACATCGGTTATTTTTAAGATACCCACGTGTCGACTTACGCTGACATGCGGCCGTTAACGTGTTGAAAACCCTCCGGGTCTCAAAGAACCCAATAAATCCATATAACTTTTATTAAAATCGGTTCAGTAATTTCTACTTACTTTTATAATACTAATATAAATTGTATTTAAAAGTTTGTGAAATAATTTTATAACTATGTAAGTAGTTGATTTGTTAATACCTCTAGGCTGTTCGTCGACGAATGATTCCAAAAAGTCTTGCGGAGTCATATAAAGTTGTCCATGATATTCAACTGAAGCGAATTTAATGAAACGTTTTTCACGTGATGTCAAGTGTAGACCACTTAGATATTCGTCATTTTCTCTCTGAAATGTAAATAAATTGTATAACTTTAACAGTTTGATTATTAACAGTAATCTACATTAATTTAATAAGTAATTAAAAAGTAAGAAAGTATTTGAAATATAAATTATTTAAAATCATAATTATTAATTACTAACAAATATAAATAAAAATATTTTACAATTTACTTGTATTTATTATACATTAAAAATTTACAATTTAGCAAGAAAAAAAAATTAAATTGAAATAGACGAGTATACAACATCGTTAAAGTATCTTATGAAATATATTTTTACAGGTTTTATAATACTTTTTGGTACATTGATTGATTTCCAATTATAATATACAATGCGTGTGGATATAGTTTATATCGATTATTTTAACTTGGATCTTTTAATATAGAAGCATTTAAACTAACTACAAATATTGTTATAATTAGATGTATTTTTCAAAATTAATTTCGTCATCTTATAATTCTTATAAGAATAATTAGGTATGCTAATGTACTCAAATCCAAAATCATAGTCATTAAATAAATAATATAATAGTTTAATTTAGAATGACAATAGGATAAAAAACCCAAAAGGTGTTATGATTTTATGATTTAATTTTCTGACAATTTTTTTTAATTATAACAATACTTTAAAAGTTTTTTGTTTAACGTAGTATTTATTAATTATTATTAACCAGAATTTTAGCAGTAAATTATTAAATTGAATATTATTGTAAATTATAATAATTAATGTAAGTAGATACTCTAAGTACTTCAAAATTCTTAAAATTTTTGTATAAAAATAATATACCATATTAAACCAAAATAATTAGTTGTTTTTAGAACTTAATACTATTTTTTTATTTAATTAAAGATATTCAACATGTAACTCATATATTTCTTACTTTAATATAATACATTAAAATAGATGATCATATTTATATAGTTATAATTTATTTCACTTTTTTAATTTTATGACTCGTGCAATATTAAAATAAAATATATTACAATACATGCTATTATACGAGTATTAGTAAAAATATTATTAAAAATAACAATATTATAGTATGGATCGATTAATTTTTTGATATTCCATATTAATATACTATGGTATATTATTTATTAATACATCAAGAATGTAATGACCCACTGAATGGGTTCATGAAGAGGCAAAAGTTATGTCCGAGTATAGTTCACTCCAAAACTGTAACTGTAGACTCTGGTAGCAGCTGATAAAATAACAAACAATTATCCCGAAAAGTATCTTTAAAATTAGTTGTAAATAAATACAAGAACAAAATTGATAGATTTCTTCCTTCTTTTCTATTGGGTTTTATTTCACACACGTGGGTCATTCAGGACGTTTGTCATCAAATGCGTCAAACAGATGGACTATCAGACTTACTCGGAAAAACACAGCTGTATTCGTACACCTTTCAACGCTATTATATGTAGTTGAAAAAAATACGTGGGTAATAAAGAAGAGTCGACAGTTAAGAACTTCTTGATAAGAACAATAATATTAAGGGTATATAAATTATCAAGACATAATTTAAATTAAACACTTTTACCCTTTTATACTAAAAAATATAGCTTGACGATTGATTAAACAATCAATCATGATGTCAAAATGTACGTGATGTTTAGTTTCACACGACTACGATCTTGAAAATAAATCTAATGGGCTGTTAAAATAAAAGATATCGCGAAGACATCAGACTATTAAGGAGAACAACAAAGGGTTGTTTTTATTGTTCAAAAACTCAAGCCATATTTAAACATCCAAAACAATGAATATTTACGATCTCACAAATTTTTAGATGGTATCCAACTATTCAAGAAAAACATATGTAGATACATTGTACTTCAGTTCCAGTTGTATTATGTAATATATATACTATATAAGTATTTGAAAGTACCTTATTGTAATATCCAATTACACAGGTATATGATTATAGTTACAGCGAAATTATGTTATAGATAATTTTTTACATTAATATAATTTTCGGTTTTTAGGTAGGCGTTTTTTAAAGGATTTTTAAGTTTAATTCGAAAATCATTAGGTACCTATGCTCTATGTCACATAATATTTTACTGATGTTTAGTTTTTATAAAAATAATATAGTCCATATATTTTTAATGAAATGTTTTTTTATTAAATAAAATTAATTATTAACAGTAAATTATTTGATTTGAACATAACAAGTATAAAAAACCTACAATGATTATTTTAAAGATGATAAAATATTTGATTTTTAAATAACGAATATGAATAAATAATAATGACAATAAAGCTAAACCTTTGATCTAAATAAGTTTGAGATAATAGAAAGATTTGTCAATATGTAAAAAAAAAAAGTATGGAATACATTAAATTAATAAAAATTAGACGGATTAATATAATGTATAACATATTACAATACTAAATTTTTACTTGTTTTATATTTGGTTTGATTTTTAATTTATGGACGCTCTCGTGAAATTTATCAAGGAAGGGCATAATGAAATCAAACATCAAAAACTATTATGGGTGTGTTAAATTTGAATTCAATGATATATCATTGTACACGAAAAACGATTTTAGACGGAAACGGTCTGTCAGTCTACATATTTCGTGATATGTTTTTTGATATAACTATTAAAGTCGTTTATTTTTCTTTTAGTATTATAGTAGGTTGATACAATTTTTTCTCAAAATATTACATTTATACTATATATTGTATTAAGTTGTATAACTAAAAATTTGACAACAACTTTCTATAAATACTGTAAAATAGTAAAAATAGATTCATAGTTTAAATAGTCATAATATCTTAAAAGAAATAAAAAAATGCCATTGCATATAGGTAGTAAAATTCATAATAATACAATACAGGAATTCTTTACTTTTGACTATTCAAAGTACCAAATAGATCCAATTACTATCAATAACTATCCCTATTTTTGATAATCGAAGTATTTTGATAGTCCCATTAAGTATTTACAGACACAAACAATTTCCGCACCATGGTAAAATCAATACATTAATCGCTTCTTTCAAAATCTAAAAGTGCATTAAAAAATAAATAAATCTATACTTAGATCGAAAAATCTTATGATATTCATTTAAACAATAATAAAGGTTTAAAATTTCAAAATTATATTTTAGTCCAGGGGAGAATTTCTTGTTTTGCGCCGCCTCTCCATTCAGGCACCCATAGTCTTATTTATTATGTTAGTAAATACTTAACATAATATTTCTTAAAATAAATAGAATACATTCAGAACATTTTGTCCTCGTCACCAGTATGTGTTGGACGTTTTATCTATAGTAAATTCAATATTAAAATAAGAGTGGCCGACGTGGTGGTATATATTGATATTTGTTTTCTCAAGTTTTAAATCATTATTTAATTTATTACTTTAGTAATATTTAAGTGGTAAGAAAATAATATTAAGCTTAGAAATTTAATTCAATTACAAATGTGTACATTATCGTATTAATTGCTGAACCGGGGTTTTCAGATAGCTTATGTATATCAAAACCAAAGGAATCAAATATCTTATGAACAATATTCGTCTGAGACTAAAGCCATATGGGTTAATAACTCTCAGGGATCAAATTTCTCTCCGGACGAAATTACTGTGAATTCAGTTTTTTGACTGGGACGAAAGGATAGGTATGAATCTAATATTTACTAAGTAGAACATAACGTACTCATAATGTTTTCGAGAAATAAAGACAGTAAATATTGCCATAATCTTGACGTAAACATGACAAATTTATCAATAGATTAGAGTGATTAGGTGAACATATAAGTAATTTATTGCTATAGACCAAGGTGCAACTGGTATCATACTTATTACATAATTTATAAATTACTATTATAGTGTTATAATATCATACAATTTATTACCTATATTTAATGTTTTTAACATTAATTTCATTATTTTTGATATTATCTATATATAAATATAAAATAACTTCTATATTATGTTAAAATTATTAATCATGTACTTATATAACTTAAATATATAGGTGATTAAATGTATTTTTAAGATAAATTTTTAGTGCAATAACTAGATATTTGAAGCAAACTAGAGGTACCAATATCGATAATCATATTTTACAATGTGATAGATAATAAGCAAATGATTGAAAAGACTAACTCTACATAAGTATTTTCATGTTTTAGCATATTTTCACTAAACGTAGTAATATGATGGAATTAATTTTATTACGAAAAAAAAAAAAAAAACTAGGTAAGATAAACGATCTTCAATAAATGTATAATTTGACTCAAATCTTATTTTTTATTCACATGCGAGTAGGGCCCAATAGTTACGTATTTTACTATATTTATGTAAGTAGGCCTAAACACTGAACAATAAGGTGACAAGGGGGTAGACCGGCCGAGTTCAGATAACATCAGTGTTATAAATGGTTAGTTGGTGAGACACCACAGGGTATTTTTGTCGGCTGTTTCATATCATTGTTTTTCATTGGTTAATCAAAAGCTGTTGTTACCCGCGGCATACTGATTTTGTTATATCGCTGTCGTCATCTTTAATTATGTGTAAATATTTGATACTTACTGGACGAGTTACATCTCTTGAGAAAAAAAAAAATACTTTTAAATATTTTAACTATGATTGCTATACAGTCACCATGCTTTGCAGTACTTATATACCTATCTTGTAAATCTTTTAAACAATAAACATAGAATCTATCTATTTATTCACTTATTTAGCTGTTATTACACAGTTTAGAAATACATATTAATATATTATATTATACTGAACTACTAGGTATCTATGTAGAATATACATATTAATAGTCATTTTTATTCTTATTAGTTATTAGATATAATTTTAGTTTTAAATTCAAATAAATAATACCATTGAGTATACTCAATGATAATACTAACAACATAATAGGTATGTAGCAATATTAAAATTGTTGACAATAATAGGTATACATAGTGTAGTATTCAATAAATTAATTATACTATATTGGTATAAAAAAAATAAGTTGATTATGAATGGTTAAAAATAAATAGTTAAATAACTCTAATCAAATTAATAAAAGCTTTTTTTATTGTTTTGTGATTTTATATATATATATATATATAAAAACATTATAATAAATATAAGATAGGTGACTAGGTAAATATGTATATTTTAATTTCAGTATAAAATGTTCTTTAAATAAGACATAAGTTATAACATTTCGGTATTATTATTTTGTCCTTAAATAAAATTAATAGAAAATTATTATCCTGATAAACACAACTAAATAATAATACACAATTAGTAGGTAAAGTAATTGATAAAGTAATTATACAATATACATTTTCTTTATGCAACTACTTATTGGTTATTAAATCAACATATTATTTTAATTTGTACTGTCATATTATTATTAGTTATTACTTTTGTAAAACCAAAACTATTTAAGTTTGACTTTTACTTTTACAGATTATATTAAAATAATTATTACATTATAGATAAATGGATTTGATTTAGTTGAAAAATCCTGAGTGTTTAATAAAGAACATAAAATACAAGAATGAAGATAAAGGAGAATATAAGAAGTTGATATCATAGAAAGTTAAAAGCTAAAATGTGAGATAAAATAATAGTTCTAATAACAAATCTGTAAACGAAAGTAAGTGGTTTGAAGAGGAAAAGAAAGACAGGGACACCAGATTAAAGTAATTTCTTAGTTATTAAAAAATATTATTATACCAATTATTAGCTCTATACCTAGTTTAACACTATTTCCCAGATTTAGATGATAGGCGTAGTAGTATATTTATCAATTTATAATACATTTTCACTAATGAAGTTATTTATTAGTATTTGGTTAATCTACATTTCAAAGTGAGTAAATATAATGATGATTAGTCCTGGTTAAATGACTACTTAATTTATAACATACCTACCTAAAATTATAGAATTGTAATTTAAATTTTGAGTACCTATTTATATATTTTTAACATATTTAAGCTGGATAAATGAATAAAAAAGTGCAGTATGGCCTATACTATATAGGTAAATCATGTAAGTGCCAATTAAATTTAAATAGGCATTGTTCACAATATAAATGTTCTAGTACAATAGTCCTCTTATAGAACATGATAATGTGTTTAAAAATAGAAAATTTTGTGGGTGCACCCGTTTTAAACAAGTGCTTTTCATCTGTGTACAAAATGTTTAACTTAGTAAAATAATTAACTGTTATTGGTTTTACTTACTTTTTTCTTTGAAAACGCATGTACTCTGAAGTCAGACATTAGCCCATATGTTATGACACTTGTAATGCCTGCTCCTGCAATCCCAGCAACCTTTGAATATTTCCGTAATAGTTGAGGGTATGTAGAAATTCTACGACCAACAGAAATACTATTGATTTTATGCAGCCTCGTTAACGGAATGCTACATCTTATGGCTTTAGAAGAATTCATAGTTCTATCAAGTTTAAAAACTATACCTACTACACTTAATACTATTATCACCTATAAATGAATAATTAGGTAATAATTATAAACAAATAAATAAACTTTCCTTGTTAACTCAATTTAAAAAAAAAATACAAATAAATAATGTCTAATAAGATGAAATAGTTCATAAAATAATCTTTATTGATAAATTGATAAGTTTTCTGATATGACGATCATAAAACATATGACACTTTTTCGGTACATTCCAATTACTAGATGGCGATAGTGAGATGTTAAACACTTGATAGAATTCATTATAAATTTTAATATTATTTTTTTTGTTGCTGTCCTTATAGTCGTATACGGTATACATTTAGGCACAAGTTAGTACCTACGTCTACGTGACATGTCAGTTTTTGAGTTACTTTAATTTATTCACGTATAATTTAATACTAACTACCATACATACATCAATTTTAATATAGGTAATAGTCTGATAGATAGATAATAATAATATTATTTATTTAACACCATTAAATTATTAAGTATAGCTATACATCTATACTCTAACCTTTATAAATTATAACTAAAATTATAGTGAAATTTTTATTAGTTTTGCATACCCAATAAGTCAATTCTGTTATAGAATATCGATTGAAATTTGTAAAAAAAAGAACGAATAAAGGAACAATTTAGAAAGGTTTTCTGTAACAAAATTTTAAATGTTTAAAAATTATTGTTATTTCCAAAACAAGTTTTGAATGGTATAATGGAAGGTTCATTTTTTAACATTTTTTTTAACCGAGTTTGTATTTATTTAATGATAGAACAAATTAAACAGTTATTAAGTACCTATCAATTTCTCCTCTTCAAGGGTTTTAGTCAATTATTTAATTGTCATTCAAAAATATTAACTATATAAATTTACATTATTCCACTATTAGGTAATCTGTATATGTATACATTTTCTAAACGCAATGCAGTTATAAAAATATTCAGATAATTTTAAACTATTTAAATTTAATTATATATTTTATTTTTTGTTTATTTCTATTTATAATTTATATTCATATTAATTATTGATTATATTTTTTGAATATAATATTATAAAATAATGAAAACTGTTTGATGAAAAATCGTTTTTTTACGTTTTATTAGTTCAATTTAATATTTTGACTGTATCTATACTCCAAACACTCAAAAATAAATAAAAATCTTTTAAGAATAACTTATATATCTATTGACTTACGAAGAGTTTTGTATCAATGTTTCAAACTTTTGGTTCTAAAATAAATACTTTACAAATTTATAACTTTAAAATATAATTTTAAAATCTGCGTGACAATGTTTCAAAAAAAAATAAAAAGTAAAATATGAATATTTATTTATTTACGATATTTTTTGACGGCTATAAGAAAAACTTCTGAGGAATTTAGTAAATATTCTCAAGTTATTTTACTCAAAACATTAATCATACACGATCAAAAAAAAAAAAATGAAAAACTAAAAAGTTGAAAAGTTTAAGTCTATAAATAAAATAACATAATAAAAAGAACCAATTTATTAAAAAAAATCTATTATGTCCAGAAAATATTACGATATTTTTTTTAACACACTGCTATAATCATAATTATTATTATTTTTAATTTCAATAATACATAACAAAATAGATTTGATCAAAAATTAGTATTAAATAACTATAATTTTTGTTAGTTACAATATAAATTGTAACTTGCAAATAGTTGGATGAAACATAATTTGATCGTATACTTTGAGAAATTTTTTAAAAAAAAATTACTCCTTGGAATAATATATAGATACTAGATTTTATGATATGTGATTGTTAATGATAAAATAATAATATTATATTAACTATAAAGTCAATACATTTTTTCTTCTCTCGACATTTAAAACTAATTCGAGTTAATACATATTTCGGTTTCTCCAATTTACATCCAAGTTTATTTTCAAGAACAAATCAGTAATATTAATATCTAATATTAAAAGTATTCTACTGATGTTATTATATTTGTAAGGTAAAATTTCTTTTATTATGTGTCCTGAATGGAGAAGTAAAATAGCTGTAGTGCTTTTTTTAAATAAATTTGGTGCTAATTATCATTTATCAATGTACCAATTATCTATTATTATTATTTAATAAAATAAAATGAGGGATATAACCACCGTATTAGTCTTTATTTTAAGATTATTCGCAATTATTTTAGATCCAAGAGATTTAATGAGACCGAGAAAGACTACATTCAAATTTATAATAAACAAATAAAATATAAATATTACTAGGTACCTAGTAAGTACTTAATAGTTTAATAAATATTAATATTTGAAAAACAACGTTTAAAAATATCTATTGTTATAATTATTTGTTATTTCATTAATTCTTCTATAGAAATTCTTTGAACTATTCTAAGAAACTTGTTTTTTAATTTACATACTTGAATATCTTATTTAGTCCAAAATAATGTCATGAAGTCATATTACATAGTTGATAGAGTAGAGTTTCATTAATAAATATTATGAGTAACTACTAAAATAATGTTTAAAATGCATACTAAATTAATCATATAATTGTCAATTAACATTCATGTTTAAAAAATTCACTGTAATATATGTATTAACTAATAGCATGCAATACGTATATTAATTAATTTTTATATTAACTTCAAATGATCCCAATAAATAACATTTGTATAAAACTATAAACCTGTTAAATTTAACGATAAAAATTAAATGTGAGATTGTATAATATATGATATAGGTGCTTTGTTAATTTTATCTATGTAATTTTAAATGTATAATATTTTTAACCTTTTACGTTTAAAATCAAAAATTACACATCTAATTATTGATATAGTAATATCTAACAAGCATAGATAAATTAAATAAATTAGTGTATTTAAATATAATGAAAAAAATCGATTAGATATCTATGTAATTCAATTATATTTAGTTAAATTTTATTAACATTGAATTTATTGATTTTACAATGCTTTGTGTTATTTATTTTTTTATTTTTGTATCTGTCGATATATTATCTAGTGCAAAATTTCTTATTAAGTTTTAAGTTTATTATAGGTACTGCAATTTAAAAAAAAAAATATGGATTATCCGAAAATCCTCAATAATTTTTTATGAGCTGCCGAAGTTTACATTGTACGACGTAATTGGATTTTTACATGTAAAATAACGAAAATAATTATTCATCATCAAATGATATTTTTATAACCAAACAGTCTTGGCTAAAAAATCGTTTTCATATGCAATAGTGTATCATTAAATTTAAATTTAACACGTACGTACATTACAGTAACTTAATCAATGACGAAGTTTAATCGGCACTAGATGCACTAGCGGATTGGTTACTAACTTTCTTTCCTTTTTTAGTTGTATCTATTTATATTCCTAAAGAAATAAAGTAAAATGATTTTATTGATTATTAAACGATACTGCATAACAAATTTAACTGTATGCAATTGTAACATGTTGGATATTTAAAAGGTATCTAGTAACCATTAATATTTATAGTATATTAGTCTATAATGTCTGGTACAGAGTAATAAAAAAGTTTTATATGTATATGCAATGCAAGATAGAATAGAATGTTTGTATTGTTAATAACAATTATTTTGCCAATAGCGTAATTAGTTCAATGAAAAATAAACAGTAATAAAGTATGTTTCTGTAGCAATCTGTACCGAGAAATCTTTGTCATAAATATCTTAATGACTACACTACAAAATAAATTTAAAAACAAAATGGGAAAGTCGCTTAGCTATATAGTAAAATTTGAGAGTAACTCGTTATTGAATAGGTCAATGTAATAGACAAATTAAATTTGAATTAAAAGATACGGTTAGGTACAGTCTACGAGTATATGTCTGAGGATATATTAAAATTTATTTATGTACTATTATTCCTCTATTAGCTTTAAGCCCATGGATGCAAAACAAACTTCTTTCCAACTTTTTCTGTTCAAAGCTCTTTCACTAGCATTGTCTATTTTAAACTGTCTTAGTCCCTTCTTGCTTTTGTCAATGCATATTTGCTTAGGTATTCTAATCAGTCTTCTTCTCTATGAGGTCTAACTTAGTACATTGCTTGTTATTAATTTAATTTTAAATACATGACCGAATCAACTCAGTTTCTTGTTTCATATTTCAATTATTATATGAGATCTGCCGAATAATTCCTATATTTCAATGTTGTATCTAATTTTGTATGTTTTAGTCTCTTCATTTTTATTGGTTTATAAATCTTTCTAAAGAATTTTCTCTCTATAGGAGTTAGTTTTTTTTCATTTCCCTGAGTCGTTTGCTATGTTTCACATGCCTATATTATCATTGGTTTAGCTAATTTTCTGTATAATCGTTCTTTGGATTACTTTGATAGCAAATTCGATCTCATTAATCTTGAGAGACATAGAGATATTTGTTCTCCAACGTGAAGCGTTTCTTAAGTTATGATAACCATTTATATCACTTAAGATATTATTTAAATATTTAAAGTTATTTAAATTTTCAAACACTATTCTTTGACCTGTTGTCCTTTTTTCTGTTGACATGCATGTATTTTGTTTTATTTTAGTTGATGATTAGTTCCAGCTTTTATATCAAAAATGCTGTCGCTTTTCGAATGTTTTGCTCGTCTTTACCTAATAATACAGTATAGAGATTAGCATAGGTTAGTAATGGAATATTTTGGCTGCAGTTAATTTCTTAATATTTTTCTTGTACATTCTTAACTGCTAACTCAGCATAATGTTAAAAAGTAATGGTGATAGCGTGTCACCTTGTTTTAATCTTATTGTTTGGAGTTCTTTTGATTTTTTGTGACCAAATTTACATTAATTTATACTACTATTACAAAAAGTTGTAGTCACTAAATTGTATTAATTTAATTATTGGAAGTTATTAAAAAAAATCATTGTTGTTAACTGAAATAAGTTTTAATAGTCAATATCAATGTACTGTTAAATGGTATGAATACGTTCGTTATAACGTAGGTATAGTTAGAAAATAAACCAAATATTATGAAAATATCATTGTGACATTGTGTATAGAAAATAATTGTGCACATTAAGGTGAAAACTTTTAATCTCTATACTTGGTATTAATAATTAACATATTTTTAAT